GTAGTCGATTGACGTGACTTGGACATGTACTGCACATACCAAGCGAGTCACCGCCCACCTCGACATACCATGCTAGGCGAATCTGGATTGATTTGGAAGAGGGTACAGGGTGACCAGATGAAGACGTGGCACTAGTGAATGGAGTCTGTCACTGTTGGTATGAGCCGTGCTGCGAGATGCAGACTGCCAGGTTGGAGTCTATGAGACGAAAGGAATCAGTGTTTGAGGACTGTTGGTGACATGGCTAAAAATCGGTCGGTTACAGTGGCGCGATTGTATTCACTCCTTGACATCTTCCAAAGTTTGGATATTTCCATTATCCGTTATCTCCAAATCGTTTATTCTTTCACACAACTTTGTCCACTTTTATATCACTCTTATTCTATCCACCTGTTCTCTGTATACTACTGTGAAGTGCGGCAAGTTGAGTTGATGCACCTATGCGACGTTCTACGTTGATTTTATCTGTTTGTCTATCAGCTGTATAAAATCTCAAGGCGGACCCTCCAATTTTTAAATCATTCGTTAGGAGTGGGTGTTATTTGGCAGCCAAGTGGTGGGAGGCAGGAGCAATAAAAGTACTAAAGTGAGGGTCCAGACCAAATATATTCAGATTGTATTGAAAAAACTTGGGGTGTTTCGCTAATATTTCATTGTCAGTCTAAGCCTTCCTTCGAAAATACTTTCTCATCAGTGATTCTAATTCCTCATGAATCATCCTATGAAATGCATGTTTTCCAAATAGCACCTTATTGGTAATCTGTTCAGGTACGGTCTATTTGGGTGATTGATTTCATAGTTGATTGGTGGGCGAGTCTACCAACACAAAAGCGGCTACATTCACTGACCCTCCTATTTATGTTTAGATGCATTTACCAGGCAGCTGTGATATAGTTTTATGGACTGATTCCACTACATATTAGGCAGTGTTTTTTATAGCACTCCAAAATCCCCAGAGAACACATTCCAGTTACAAGTGTCTCAAGAAAGAACTTCACTTCTCGCTGAAGCCTTCAGATCACTATTTGAATTGAGATTTTGAACAAAAGGTTGGGAAATCATTGAATATGACAGTGATACTTCGATTGTCCATGATCATATATGCCCTCAAGGTCAGGGAATTTTACCAGTTGTCAGGTATCACACTTTGTATATTTCTTTGCAAATATTCAATAGGATTTGTGAATGAGACACGCAACACAAACTACAGAGAGACAGTAACTGACAAGTGTGCTGAAGAAGGTAATTGGTACAAACTGACTTCGAATTTGACTCTGCCGTAGATATGCTGAGAAACAGCATCAACAGTTCTCTAAGAAATACTTTCTTCAATCTAACCTATGGAGACATAATCCTTAGCTGTTCAGTGTTTCTAAGTCATTCGAAGAAAAGCTTCGACAACTGATCACTTTAGTGTGCTTTTAATCAGTTCACCTACTTTCATACAGCCAGGTATATTGGTCTTTTGAAGTGTTTTTTACGAAGAGGATATATAACATAACTGCACAGATGTGCCAGTGAATTTGTCAGAAGTGCGATTGCCGAAAACTTGATCAATATGGATCATACTATCAAGAAATAACCACCATACAGTGTCATCGCCAAAGTGAAAGGAAATATGCCCTACATAATACTTTTTTAACTCTTTTATACAGTAGAAGTCGTTGCCGTATAAAAACATTGATAAGGCAGAATTATGTGCACAAAAAAAACTCGTTCAATGCTTGACCACAGACACATGAGCTTTGGGACTAAGTAAGCTTCGGTTTGATTTCTAGTTTCATTTTAGTGACTCCCTATTATTCTCATGTAGTTTCTTATGATCACCCTTCATCTTGAGTTCCCTCTTGGTGTATTATTCAACTTTGCCTCGAAATTTGTTGATCCTCTCACCTTTTATGTTTTGTTATGATTTATTCCCAACCTTCGTGACACTTGAATTTCTCCACACCTTTTAAAAATCATTATAATCTTTATTAAACCCTTTGCTGATTACTATGTTAAACAGCAAAACAGAAATATCGGCAAACGTGAAGATTTCATGAACCAAACTGTATAATTCATTTTGGAGGTTTATGGAGACTTATTGATTTCAGATTGGTATTCATCAAGGGCTAAAATCATTTGGAGAGCCATCGAGAACATAGGATGGTTGGGTATCTGTTTCGTCCCAGTAGAGCACTCTTCGGTAGTGCACACAGTGATTACATGCTTGCGGCAAAACCTGAAATTCCCGGGTTCGAGGGTTTTGGGAGAGCATCGCTGAGGAGTCTCAGACTAGGACGAAACAATTGTTTAGTGCTCAAAGGTTTCCAATGGTTCTCCAACTGATATCAGTCTGCATACACAGAAAAGGTTTGAAGACATTTAATTCCTTTGTCGTCCTCCCAGAAGGAACTCATTGTATGCGCGATCGGGTGTGTTAATCGATGATGTCATTTATCTCACTCTCTTTGATTTACTCGATAAAGAGAGTTAGTTTCAAAAGGAACTCGTTTTTTTCTCGTTAGAGATTAGTTTGATCGCAGTACCTCGGTAGGCGGTTGATAATCGATTAGTACAGTAAGTGCTTTTCTTCAAATGATCTATGAGAATTGTTTGACAAATAAGTAAATGACTAAGAACCCTTAGTCAATTTGTTGGATCGTGTTTGATGCGTACATTCTACGGAGATATGCCTACTTCGCCTTATTCTTTCGACTAAATTGCTTTACCTTGTGGTATCTGGATATCATAATTGTGTAGTGATAGTTTATTGCATGGTAACGACTGACTGACTAATAAAATGGAGAAACTGACACATAGGTGCATCAGCTCAACATGCTGCACTTCACAGTAGTATACAGAGAACAGGTGGATAGAATAAGAGTGATATAAAAGTGGACAAAGTTGTGTGAAAGAATAAACGATTTGGAGATAACGGATAATGGAAATATCCAAACTTTGGAAGATGTCAAGGAGTGAATACAATCGTGCCATTGTAACCGACAGTCCCTTAACACCAATTCCTATCATCTCAGGTACCCCAGCCAAGCAGTCTACACGGCCCACACGACTCAGATCAACAACTGGTACGATAAGTTAGTTTGACCATCCTGTACGGTTGCTCCAACCTAGTGCAGATTCCCCTAGCATGGTATGTCGAAGAAGGCGGCGGCTCGCTTGGCATCCGCGGTATTAGTGTAAACCACCTTACCCGATGGAAGTTCACTGCTTCACCAATCGAGTGGCCTGTCTCACCTAGTACCTTTCACATAATCTCAATATTGCTCACACAGTGGCCGGATTCTCAGATTGGAAGAAGGGCTACCTTGTCGATCTCACAAAGAAGGGAACTAGCGCGGAATCATGCTCACGTTTACACAAAGCAAAATATTGTGCCACAACATACTGGAGAAACTAAAAAATGCTCTCCAACCAAAATTACGACCGGAACAGGCCGGCTGACTTCAAGAAAAAAAATTATGTGCGGATCAAATTGCAACACTACGCATAATAGTATAGAATGGCAGTCAACTCAACTTCAGCCATTCTGAAAACGTCTTCGACAGCGTCGACCAGTGAAGTAATTTCGCAGGCAGCTGATTCAACACTACGACTACGGTTTTAGTGACACAAACCTTCGTCAAACACATTTAATAGCTATATGCTAGATGATGCTACATGCCAAGTGATTCAAAATGGAAACCTCAGTCACGCTTCTCAAGTCATGAAGATAGGAATAAGACAAGGCTGCCTACTATCACCGATGATCCTCCTCATGGTACGGGACTGCATTATACAACAAATTCTGAGGAGTGAGAAGAGGGGCACACGCTGTTCAACCGATGAAAAGACCCCAGATGATTTGGATTTCGCTGAAAATCATGATCTATCTCCAATGCCACACAAAATCGAAGATCTGCAGGCAAAAACTAACAAGTTGACAGAAGTTGCAGCAAGGACGGGACTTCAAGTGAATGTAGAGAAGACAGAAGTGATGAAGATACCCAACCAACGACAACATCAACAACATGCACCAATCACCATCAACGGGAGGAATCTAAAACAAGTAGTCTCTTTCACCTACCTAGGCAGGCAGCATCGTTTCAACTACAGGCGACGGCACACGCACACATGAGGATGTCAAGGCCAGTCAGGATCGGAAAGACAGTAAGACATGACTTCCTTCATCAATCTGAAATAATCAGTGTGGAGATCTGCTGAACTGCACTACACTACACTACACTGCACTCAGCATAAAGCGTGAACAAGATCCGGATTTACAACACTAATATCAGTCAAGTAAGTCAGTGCTTCTATGTGATGGTTGAGAGAATTGGCGCGTTACGGATAGCATTCCCAACAAACTACAGACATCATACATCAACAGCTGCCTACGCTTGATACTGAAGATTAGATCAAAAGGCCAGAATAATAAGAACAAACAACAAGGAACTCACTGTGGCTGGCTGGCTGACTGGCAACGAACCAACCAACCAACCAACCAACAACCTACCGCCCAACAAATATGCAGAAGAAGAAAGTGGAGGTGGATTGGATTGGATTGGATTGGACATACACTGAGATGACCGATTGGGAACATGAGGTGCCAGGTCAGGTCGTCGAGTGGAACCCGTATGGGAAACAACGAGTTGGGCTTCCCAGCTGAGGGTGACATGGAGATCGTGTGAGGAAGAAATGAAGGTTTCTGGGCAGTGGTGGGACTAGGTTGAAAAGACTGCAAGGAAGAGAGTGAAATGAAGACGTGCTACTGAAGCCCTATGTTCTACTAGGAACCCAAGGGACAAAGAATAATAATAATAAGTGGCCGGATGCCACCAAACGCGAGCAATACTACGAAGACATCTTTGGCCAAAACCCTCGAATGGTTTCATGTCTCCTACTTTTAACAGCCACGCTTCACAGCGTGACCACTTAAGCAGTTCAATAGTAGTATATTTTACACCAAACCCTGTCGATGTATCCCGGTTCACATTAAATCAGAACGAACTCTACATAGTCAAACAAATATGTTGACTTTGTGAAAATAAAAATTAATGAAAACAGCTGAGAACTTGTAAGCTCACAAAAAACACACAGTAATAACTACCTAATACAAAGTAGAAACAAAGAGCAATACTCACAGAGCGTTTACACAGATCAGAAAGAATAACGGAGTGTCTTCCATCAATACATCAAATTATACAAAAGTAGAAGTAATAAAAAAGGGTGAATCATGTGAAGAAACGAAAAGAAAAAACTTATGTACAAACAATAACGTGACTATACTAAAATAACGCCAGCAAAGTAACTAATGTGGTCGAACTGAGCCTAAACAAGACTCAGATTGATTTCTAACACGTGGTACATACTGTTGATTGTTACTACCGCCACCACCACCACCACCACCAATGAAAGGTATTCCATTGACAACTTGTAGTAAATGTTCAGTTATTAAATCGACACCAACTTGATTGTCTGGTGCACGAGGTAGAATTACATCAGCATATTTTTTTGTCTAAAAGAAAAGTAATAATAAAAGGATATGTTATTATAAAAGTCAGATGTTAGACAGAATGAAAGAGACAAGTCCATCTCAAAGTTGTCTAACATTCTAGCCAGTTGACTATTGAGTAAGCATTGGCTAAAGTAATTTAATCCTATGTGGAATAGCCTATAGGTTTGATAAGTAGCTTATAGTGAATTAGCACCTAAAATTTCTATCGTAAGTAACTAAGTTGTATTGTTATTATTACTACCATTATAATCACCAGTAAGTGAATAGAAGATATTCAAAAGGTTGAACCAAAAAACACAACAATTCCTGCATTTTACACATATTTCTGGTATCCCTTATTATTTTGTTGACGAAATATATTCCATTGATCCATGAGTAAGAACAAGATATATTTAGTAAAACAATGTGAGCGAAGAAATATTTCTTTTCAATTAGTTCCTCATCAATGAATATTTCTACTTTTTCAACAACTTCATTATCAAACTGTACAGTCGTATTTATAACCGCTAAAATAATAGATAATCCCACTAAAACAGTTTCTCAGTCAATATGCAAAAATATACAATAAGTGTTGGTGGTAGGATTTGTCCAAGTAAAAGCGAGCCCTCTAACAACATGTTGCTGAACATTAAACCTGGTTCAACTTACCACTAAAGGGCGAGCGAAGAAAATTAACTTTATCCATACAGTTAGGTCATTCAACTAGTCAAGATTCATTCATTAAAGTAATTTACAAAGTTAAATTGAACTACTCTAAAGGTTTACATTTTTATCACTTATGCACAGAGCTGGCAATCAGCTCTCTACCTCAACTTCATCGACTTTGAGAAGGCCTTTGACAGAGTCAACCGAGAACTAATTTGGAAACTGCTTCAATACTACGGAGTACCGCAAACCTTTATCCGCCTCATTCAACAACTATATGAAGATGCCACATGCCAAGTAATCCACAATGGGAAGCTCAGTGATGCCTTTGAAGTGAAGACAGGAGTGAAACAAGGTTGCCTACTATCCCCCATGATATTCCTTATTGTGGTGGACTGGATCATGCAGCAAACAGTAGGCAGCGAGAAGAGGGGGATACACTGGACGACGGAAAAGAACCTAGAAGACTTGGATTTCGCCAACGATGACTTGTGTCTAATGTCACATAAACTTGAAGATCTACAGGCAAAAACTAACAAGTTGGTAGAAGAGGCAGCGAAGACGGGACTTCAGGTGAATATAGAGAAGACAGAAGTGATGAAGATACCGCACCACCACCATCAACAACAACAACAAACTCCAATCACCGTCACCATCGACGGGAGAAACTTGAAGGAAGTAACCTCCTTCACTTATCTAGGAAGCACTGTTTCAACTACAGGCGGGACGGACGAGGACGTCAAAGTCAGAATCGGAAAGACAGCAAGACAGGCGTTCATTAGCCTGAAAACAGTGTGGAGATCTTCTGCACTGCACTCAGCATGCGTAACAAGATACGGATTTTCAACACCAACGTCAAGTCAGTGCTCTTGTATGGTTCAGAGACTTGGCGCATCACGAAAGGCATTTCCAATAAACTACAGACATTCATCAACAACTGCTTACGCTCGCTGCTGAAGATCAGATGGATTGCCAGAAAAAATAAGCAACAAGGAACTCTGGGAACGAACCAACCAAGAACCTATCACCCAACAAATATGCAGGAGGAAGTGGAGATGGATTGGCCATGCACTGAGAAGGCCGACTGAGGACATCACGCGTCAGGCCAGTTACTCGAGTGGAATCCCCATGGGAAGCGACGAGTTGGACGTCCAAGGGTGACATGGAGGAGGTCGTGCGAGGAGGAAATGAGAGCTTCTGGGCTGTCGTGGGACCAGGTTCAAAAGATCTCAGAGAACAGAGGTTACTGGAGGCGTGCTACTGAAGCCCTATGTTCTACTAGGAACCCAAGGGACAAAGAATAATAATAATAAGTGGCCGGATGCCACCAAACGCAAGCAATACTACGAAGACATCTTTGGCCAAAACCCTCGAATGGTTTCATGTCTCCTACTTTTAACAGCCACGCTTCACAGCGTGACCACTTAAGGAGTTCAATAGTAGTATATTTTACACCAAACCCTGTCGATGTATCCCGGTTCACATTAAATCAGAACGAACTCTACATAGTCAAACAAATATGTTGACTTTGTGAAAATAAAAATTAATGAAAACAGCTGAGAACTTGTAAGCTCACAAAAAACACACGGTAATAACTACCTAATACAAAGTAGAAACAAAGAGCAATACTCACAGAGCGTTTACACAGATCAGAAAGAATAACGGAGTGTCTTCCATCAATACATCAAATTATACAAAAGTAGAAGTAATAAAAAAGGGTGAATCATGTGAAGAAACGAAAAGAAAAAACTTATGTACAAACAATAACGTGACTATACTAAAATAACGCCAGCAAAGTAACTAATGTGGTCGAACTGAGCCTAAACAAGACTCAGATTGATTTCTAACACGTGGTACATACTGTTGATTGTTACTACCGCCACCACCACCACCACCACCAATGAAAGGTATTCCATTGACAACTTGTAGTAAATGTTCAGTTATTAAATCGACACCAACTTGATTGTCTGGTGCACGAGGTAGAATTACATCAGCATATTTTTTTGTCTAAAAGAAAAGTAATAATAAAAGGATATGTTATTATAAAAGTCAGACGTTAGACAGAATGAAAGAGACAAGTCCATCTCAAAGTTGTCTAACATTCTAGCCAGTTGACTATTGAGTAAGCATTGGCTAAAGTAATTTAATCCTATGTGGAATAGCCTATAGGTTTGATAAGTAGCTTATAGTGAATTAGCACCTAAAATTTCTATCGTAAGTAACTAAGTTGTATTGTTATTATTACTACCATTATAATCACCAGTAAGTGAATAGAAGATATTCAAAAGGTTGAACCAAAAAACACAACAATTCCTGCATTTTACACATATTTCTGGTATCCGTTATTATTTTGTTGACGAAATATATTCCATTGATTCATGAGTAAGAACAAGATATATTTAGTAAAACAATGTGAGCGAAGAAATATTTCTTTTCAATTAGTTCCTCATCAATGAATATTTCTACTTTTTCAACAACTTCATTATCAAACTGTACAGTCGTATTTATAACCGCTAAAATAATAGATAATCCCACTAAAACAGTTTCTCAGTCAATATGCAAAAATATACAATAAGTGTTGGTGGTAGAATTTGTCCAAGTAAAAGCGAGCCCTCTAACAACATGTTGCTGAACATTAAACCTGGTTCAACTTACCACTAAAGGGCGAGCGAAGAAAATTAACTTTATCCATACAGTTAGGTCATTCAACTAGTCAAGATTCATTCATTAAAGTAATTTACAAAGTTAAATTGAACTACTCTAAAGGTTTACATTTTTATCACTTATGCACAGAGCTGGCAATCAGCTCTCTACCTCAACTTCATCGACTTTGAGAAGGCCTTTGACAGAGTCAACCGAGAACTAATTTGGAAACTGCTTCAATACTACGGAGTACCGCAAACCTTTATCCGCCTCATTCAACAACTATATGAAGATGCCACATGCCAAGTAATCCACAATGGGAAGCTCAGTGATGCCTTTGAAGTGAAGACAGGAGTGAAACAAGGTTGCCTACTATCCCCCATGATATTCCTTATTGTGGTGGACTGGATCATGCAGCAAACAGTAGGCAGCGAGAAGAGGGGGATACACTGGACGACGGAAAAGAACCTAGAAGACTTGGATTTCGCCAGCGATGACTTATGCCTAATGTCACATAAACTTGAAGATCTGCAGGCAAAAACTAACAAGTTGATAGAAGAGGCAGCGAAGACGGGACTTCAGGTGAATATAGAGAAGACAGAAGTGATGAAGATACCGCACCACCACCATCAACAACAACAACAAACTCCAATCACCGTCACCATCGACGGGAGAAACTTGAAGGAAGTAACCTCCTTCACTTATCTAGGAAGCACTGTTTCAACTACAGGCGGCACAGGCACAGACGAGGATGTCAAAGTCAGAATCGGAAAGACAGCAAGACAGGCGTTCATTAGCCTGAAACCAGTGTGGAGATCTTCTGCACTCAGCATGCGGAACAAGATACGGATTTTCAACACCAACGTCAAGTCAGTGCTCTTGTATGGCTCAGAGACTTGGCGCGTCACGAAAGGTATTTCCAATAAACTACAGACATTCATCAACAACTGCTTACGCTGGCTCGATACTGAAGATCAGATGGATTGCCAGGAAGAATAAGCAACAAGGAACTCTGGGAACGAACCAACGAAGCAAGAACCTATCACGCAACAAATATGCAGGAAGAAGTGGAGATGGATTGGCCATGCACTGAGAAGGCCGACTGAGGACATCACGCGTCAGGCCAGTTACTCGAGTGGAATCCCCATGGGAAGCGACGAGTTGGACGTCCAAGGGTGACATGGAGGAGGTCGTGTGAGGAGGAAATGAGAGCTTCTGGGCTGTCGTGGGACCAGGTTCAAAAGATCTCAGAGAACAGAGGTCACTGGAGGCGTGCTACTGAAGCCCTATGTTCCACTAGGAACCCAAGGGACTAATATATATATATAATATATATGCACAGAGCTGAAGCATTAGTTATACATGAACAAAAACTGAAAACTTTGTATCCAAAAATGTTTTGTGAAACCACTTTCTCTATCTTGGGCTTTAACAATTCCTTGTTGGTTACTTTTGTCAATTTGATTCCACTTCACTTTGGTATACTTCTCTTTCATTAACATCATCATCATTATCACCATTCTTCATTTCATTGATAGCACTTGTCCCTTATCTCACCACTTGTTATCTCATTTCGTTCCTTATTCACTGATCCATTTCCTATTTCTTTCATTTGAAAAATCCCACCACCAATTGTATATTTTATATGTTGACTGAGCCACGTTTTAGTTCAATTATCTGTCATTTTACCGAGTATAAATACAACTGTACAGCTTGATAATGAAGTCGCTGAAAAAAGAAATATTTCTTCTTCGCTAATATATGTCTTGTTCTGATTATTTTGTTAATATTGTTATCATTTTAAAAAGGATGAAGTCTTTATTTACCGAAAACTTGTTTCCACGTAAATTAAATCAGTTCAGTGTATTACCATGGTAGCGAAATTGTGTTGAGGTTAGATGGGTAATTAATTTATACTACGTAAACTCTGACATCAATGTTGTATCTCATGTTTCATATTAGTTGCATATGCCAGAAAACCAAAAAGGCTTCAGACCTGGCTGTCATCCATCCATCCAAATCAACATAGGACAAGGTAATACTGCATAACGGTCCAAGTTCCCACACCTCATATCAGTACATCAAGTAAAAAGGCACAAACTGTAAGATGAAGAAAAGGAAATTCAGTCAAAAGAAATATTAAGTACGAGAAGACAGAAAGGAAGAATGACAAAATTGTGAGATTCGATATAGCGTCGTTAAGATGAGGATAATGTGTGTGGGGACACATGTGCGCCACTGACATCGGTTCTCAGACATACCGCCGACTAGAGTCAGTCTCCAACCACTGGTTTCTCTTGTCCCGCGGACCCCAACCACCTAGTCTGCATCGCCTCACATGCTTCAAACCAATAGTCAATGACTTCATACATTAGTGACGTGTTTTAGTCTGGCCGTCTCGAGTCTTTTTCAAGCTTGAACACACTTCGACCAACATTGTGTGACGAGGTAATCGGCGACTAGGCATACACGTAACACATGTCCCAACCATCTCAGTCCATGAAGGTTCACAGCACCATCATCGAATGACTTACCTCTTCTCTCCCTAAAACTCTACGCCTGACTTCTGCGTTACTCACATGGTGACACCACGCAATACGGCCTACACTACGAAGGCGATGGTGGTCAAACACCTGAAGCCTTCTCATGTCTTCCAATCTCAATGGCCATGTTTTACAGCCATACAGTAGGGACAGAGCGGGCTGCGGTGAAGTACACGCGACCCAGACAATCGGATATCACGGCGGGGCCATAGGTGGCGCAAGTTGCCAAAAGCCAGCCGAGCCTTTCGTATTCGTGCAGAGATTTCATCGGCAACTGAGCCACCAGGGTTGATCCCACTTTCCAGGTAAATGAAGTGGTTGACACACTCAACCACTTCACTCTCTATTAATAGCTGAGGCACCGCTGAAGACCGATTCTGGAGCAACAATTTGTGCTTGGGTGGCGAAAAACGCATCCCAAACATTATCAAATTGCCACTCAAAGTGTCCAGAAGACTCTGCATCTTGTCAGTGTCTTCACCCAACAGGACTATGTCATCTGCATATTCTAGGTCTAACGAAAATTCTCTTACGATTAGTTCAACCTCTGTGTATTCAAGTGACGAGATGTGGATGTATCGACTAGATATCCACACTCCAACAAGTTCTGGGAAATAGGCACACTTAACGACGACCGACACTGACTGTATTTCTCGACTTCTAGGTGGCATTCGACTCCGTCAACCAAGAGATCTGAAACGAGTGGTGAGTGAGTACATCATTCGATTGAAGGCTCCTTACTCGAACACCTGTATACGTGTTACAACCTATAGTGAGTTGCGTATATCGAGTGGTGTTTATCATGTATACCCACTCTCTTCATTACTATTCAGTTTTGAGATGGTTGAGTGTGTTGAACACTTCACTTACTTTTTAGGAAGTGAAATCAGCCCTGGTGGTTTAGTGGCCGATGAAATCTCTGCACGAATACAAAAGGCTCGGCTGGCTTTTGCCAACCAACGCCACCTGTGGTGTCGCCATGATATCCGATTGTCCATTTAGGGTCGATTGTACAGTGCGGCAGTTCACTCTATTTTAATTCATGACTGAAGCATGGCCATTAAAAGTAGAAGTAGAGAAGGTCTCTGGTATTTGACCGCTGTCACCTTTGAAGGATAGGCCGTGTGCCGTGACGTAAAAGTTAGGTGTAGAGTTTTAGGGAGGAGAGGTAAGTCAGTTGATGGTGTTTTGAACCTTCACCGACTGAGATGGTTGAGACTGCCTCGTCGCACAATGGTGGCCGAGGTAAGTTCAAGCTGAAAAGACCCAGAGTGGCCAGAATAAAACATGACATCAATGCATGAAATCGTTAACTGTTCGTTTAAGCCATGTGGAGGCGACGCAGACTAATCGATTTGGGTCCGTGGGATAAGAGAAACCAGTGGTTGAAGACTCTAGAATAGAATGTAAGTGGCGCAGATGCATATATATATATTATCTTCATCTTAACCGATATACTGAACTCAGTAATTTCTCATTCCTCTTCCCTCTCTTTTACTGCTTTTGACCAATTCTTTTTTCTTCCTACACGTTTCATGTTACTACTTTGTTACTTTTGTTGGTTTGAGGTGTGGCAACTTGGACCGTTACGCAGTAATGCCTGGTTCTATGTTGATATGCATGATGATGAAGTTGGTTGACAAAGTGAGTAGTCAACAGTAATACGTCTACTGCTGTATGCACCAAAGCTTCTCTATCATTCTTCGCATCCCCTCTATCTCAGATTTCCAAGTTTTCCCAGTAAAATTCATGTCCACAATTAACGATATGCTCAGAAATAAGCAAGGATGTATCATGACGCTTCGTTGCTATTTGGTATTCATGTGGACGGATATCAATAGGGGAATCACTCTGTTCAGTATAGTGTTCTTTGCAGTTTCTAGTTTTTGTAGATAACAAGCTAATTTTTTGGCCTGTATAACATGCAATGAAGAAATTTTGTAGGGTGGTTGGCTACAGCGATTTTGAAATGCTTCAGTAATTCAGTGCAATCTTCGAAACTTTCTTCATGTAAGCTATGATAATCTAAATGCTACTTTTCAAGGATGACTTTTTGATGATAACGAATTTGACAAACATTTTTTGATGAATATTTGTCCTCACGGCCATCACGCTTGACTCCACCGGTCACGACTTGTCATTGGAACTTCGGGAATACTTCTCGAAGCTAGTCACCAACGAGCACTAGTTCAATTAAAAATGAAATATTTGAAATATTTCCAAATCTCCACAACCCCCTCAAAATTTAATTGAACTAGTGCTCGTTGGTGACTAGCTTCGAGAAGTATTCCCGAAGTTCCAATGACAAGTCGTGACCGGTGGAGTCAAGCCTGATGGCCGTGAGGACAAATACTCAACGATGACATTGGGTGGCGGTTTGCGCTATATCGTGAGCTAACAGAAGTTGGAAATATGGAGCATTGGATTCTGACCCAGTGGCTCAATGGTAACGCGCTGGTCGCGGAACCTGAAGGTCGCGGGTTCGATCCCTGCTGGTGGGGTCGTGGGTGCGCACTGCTGAGGAGTCCCATACTAGGACGAAACAGCTGTCCAGTGCTCCCAGGTTTCCTTTGTTCCTCCAACTGATGTCAGTCTTCGATGAATAACAACTTGAAATATTTCCAAATCTCCACAACCCCCTCAAAATTTAATTTTTTGATGAAGTTGAATGGATAAGCGGTCTTCAACAAATTTCTTTTCTCCGTGAATTTGGTGCACTACAATATCTTCGCTTTGTTGAGCAATTTTGTATACAACTGATTTTGTACGTTGTCGGATCGGTCCTACTGTAGTTGAGGATTTGACCAACGTGAATTCCAATTCGTCTCCTTTAATACTCACAAACGTATGTCTACACAACGGACCTAAAGTTTTGGTTTGCTCAACGGCAATAAAACAATTTTCAGTCATTCCATTATGTTTGTGTGTGGACTCTTGAGAAATAAAGTTAGGCTTCATTCTTGATGGTTGCTCAGTCCCTCAAAAACGTAAAGAAGCAGCAAACGGTAGGTTTATTGCCAATTCGAGATGTGGCTAACTCGTTTCCATTAAATCACTGTATCGGAATCTACTGGTCCATATTTCCAACTTCTGTCAATTCACGATATAGCACGACCATCACCCAACGTTATCGTTGAGTATTTATCCTCATGGCCACCAGGTTTACCCCACCGGTCACGACTTCTCATTGGAACTTCAAGAATCACCTTTCGAAGCCAGTCACCAATGAGCAGTAGATCAATTGGATTTGTGGAGATTTAGTAATTTCTCAAGTTGGTATTTATCATGGACTGATATCAGTTGGAGGAACAATGGAAACCTGGGAGCACTGGACAGATGTTTTGTCCCACCTGCATGGGACTCCTCAGCAGTGAATCAGGATGCTAACATTAAGTCATTGGGTCAGATGTGGACAAAAAGTAATGGTATGAAAATGATTTCAACGTCGTTCATATTCTCTTCACCTTCCAATTTCATACATATGAGCATGTGGTTTCTCACGTATGTTCAAAATGCTGTGATTAGTTAGAAAAGATTCCAGGGAAATCCCGGCTTCTCTGAGGAAATTATGAGGTGTTGATTCACTGTAATAAAGTTGATCCAATTAGTATTCTTTTTATTTGCCTACAGTCTGTCGTTGAGTTGTAAATAGATTGTAAGACATGAATGAATGAATTTTATCAAAGTTGAACATTGAAGGTATGTGTATTATTCGATAATGACAGACGTTGTCTGGCAATGGAGTTCAAGACACGCGTTTCATTTTGTTTAGGACTCGTCAGCTAGACACGCCTACTTCCCAGTGAGTGATGTTGTCCCCACTAAAACTCTGGTGTTCAAGGCGATTGGTCCCGCACTTGACTCCTAGGTAGTAGTGTAGTGGGTGTTGTTAATCAGAATGAATATAAGTAGTATATGTTGAGACGGTGGCAGAAATCATAAGGAATTACTAGCAATGGGCAAGGATTCTTCCGAGAGAACCGCAAGAGAAAATGCAGGCGTATTAAGAATAAATCAAAATAGAAGTAGAAGATGATATGAAGCACATTATTTCAATGACTGTCTTAATGGAAGGTGTACAGTAGTTGATGACTACTGTACCAGATGTCAATAATAGATATTCCTTCCTTCATCGCCGTCTTGTCGTTTTCTACAATCGGGATCACTGCTTCAGGAGTTGATGAAGATTCTGTGGCCTGCAGTGTTCGGGGATGGAGACATCTCCTCCCCCCCCCAAGGACTTCGAGTCGGTCGCGGAGATGCTGGATGTCCAGGATCCAGGAGTGAAGGTTGTGGTGCTTGGCACGTTGCTGAGCGGTAGAGCGAAAGCGGCATACGACGGCGTGGAACATGGTGATAGGAAGGAGACTTAGCAGAGAGTGGCTGAACGCCTAGAGGTGGAGTTTGACAGCCCAGCGGACAGTAAGCCGGTGATGCAGCAGTTCCGGAGAACGAAACTTGGAACAGACAAAGACCCGCTAGTATTGCCTGCGAAGTTGATAAAACTACTTCGACGAGCACTTCCTACTTTGGATGAGGACTCCCAGGCGCAGTTACTGGCAGCACAGTTAATCGACAGTGTCTCGAATGTCATCGCCTAGCAGCTCCGACTAGTAAACCCATCCTAAACCATAGATATTAGTAAGGTGGCCAACGGCATCAGACAGCTAATGGGTACAGCAGTAGCTGCGATGGAGTCACAAGAGATAAATAATTGAAGGAAACAGCAAGAGGGCGATGAAGAAAAGGATATCTATTATTGACATCTGGTACAGTAGTCATCAACTACTGTACACCTTCCATTAAGACAGTCATTGAAATAATGTGCTTCATATCATCTTCTACTTCTATTTTGATTTATTCTTAATACGCCTGCATTTTCTCTTGCGGTTCTCTCGGAAAAATCCTTGCCTATTGCTAGTAATTCCTTATGATTTCTGCCACTGTCTCAACACATACTACTCATATTCATTCTGATCAGCAACGCCCGATACGGTAGTAGCATTATTTGTCCATTGGGTTCCTAGTAGAACATGAGCTTCAGTAACACGTCTCCATTTCACTCTCTTCCTTGCAGTCTTTTCAACCTAGTCCCACCACTGCCCAGAAACCTTCATTTCTTCCTCACACGATCTTCTCCATGTCACCCTCAGCTGGGAAACCCAACTCGTTGTTTCCCATACGGGTTCCACTCGACGACCTGACCTGGCACCTCATGTTCCCAATCGGTCATCTCAGTGTATGTCCAATCCAATCCAATCCAATCCACCTCCACTTTCTTCTTCTGCATATTTGTTGGGCGGTAGGTTGTTGGTTGGTTGGTTGGTTGGTTCGTTGCCAGTCAGCCAGCCAGTCAGCCAGCCAGCCACAGTGAGTTCCTTGTTGTTTGTTCTTATTATTCTGGCCTTTTGATCTAATCTTCAGTATCAAGCGTAGGCAGCTGTTGATGTATGATGTCTGTAGTTTGTTGGGAATGCTATCCGTAACGCGCCAATTCTCTCAACCATCACATAGAAGCACTGACTTACTTGACTGATATTAGTGTTGGAAATCCGGATCTTGTTCACGCTTTATGCTGAGTGCAGTGTAGTGTAGTGTAGTGTAGTGTAGTGTAGTGCAGTTCAGCAGATCTCCACACTGATTATTTCAGATTGATGAAGGAAGTCATGTCTTACTGTCTTTCCGATCCTGACTGGCCTTGACATTCTCATGTGTGCGTGTGCCGTCGCCTGTAGTTGAAACGATGCTGCCTGCCTAGGTAGGTGAAAGAGACTACTTGTTTTAGATTCCTCCCGTTGATGGTGATTGGTGCATGTTGTTGATGTTGTCGTTGGTTGGGTATCTTCATCACTTCTGTCTTCTCTACATTCACTTGAAGTCCCGTCCTTGCTGCAACTTCTGTCAACTTGTTAGTTTTTGCCTACAGATCTTCGATTTTGTGTGGCATTGGAGATAGATCATCATTTTCGGCGAAATCCAAATCATCTAGGGTCTTTTCATCGGTTGAACAGCGTGTGCCCCTCTTCTCACTCCTCAGAATTTGTTGTATAATGCAGTCCCATACCATGAGGAGGATCATCGGTTATAGTAGAATATGAGATATATATATAGAACGGCAAGATATTCAAATTTAAAATGCATATACTCTGCTCACAGGTTTTCGATTTAGAGAAAAGACAAGCATTTTCAGAAGTTGTTTGACAGATTAACAGTTTCAAGTAACTAGTCTTCAAAACAGTTGAAGACACTGTCCTGATGGATAACTAGGGAAAAACAGAGAAATCTTATGAAAACAGTAAAAGAGTATAAATATAGGATGATATTGAGTAACTAGTAATATTACATCGAAGTAACTAACTTACAGGAAGACAAAATTCTTCAAATGCCGGTTTAACATATTTAAAATAGCTATCGAGTACAGCTTCCAGACGACGACCTTTAGTTGAGACATCTCTTAAGACTAAAAGAATTTAACAGATAAATTTTATTTATTTAAAAAATAACATTCATACCTTTTCTACAAAGTCTAGTATCTGTATCTGATTCAACAAAGATTTTCAAATGAAACAAATCTCTAACTTCCTTTTGATAAAATGTTAGTATTCCTTCAACAATCACAACATCTACATCTTGTGGAATCTCTTGAACATCTGGAGTACTATATACAATAAGTAAAGTAATAAAATACAATTTCATACCTAGAATAAGCAGAACAATCGTAAGTATGCAAGATTACAGGTTCTCTTTGTTTGATTTTTCTTAAAACTTCAGCTAAATATTTAAAGTCAAATGAATCTGAAATATATCAAATGAAAATAGATTTATAAATAAGCTGACTAAGATGATAAGTGTACTGAAGGGCAAAAAAAAAAAAACAACGGGGGCTAAACCAATGCCACACAACTTATGTGTAACAGTCTATAATATTATCCAGTTACCTAGGCTGAAGTAAGTGGTAAGTCTGTCATCACCTATTTGAGTGACTAGAAAGCCGACAGCGACAATTATATATATATATATATATATATATATATATATATATATATATATATAATCTAGAGGTTTGTGGAGGTTTATTAATTGATTTTAGAGTTGGAATTTATCATGGACTGACATCAGCTGGAGAAACATTGGAAATCTGGAAGCACTGAACAGCTGTTTTATCCACCAACCTCCAGATAGAATTAATCTAGCTTTCTAGAGATGATTCCTGAAGTTCTAATGAGAAGTTGTGATCAGTGGAGTCAACCAAGTCGAACATGAAGACAGTTATTCAACGATGACATTGGATGTAGGTTGCGCTATATCGTGAACTAACAGAAGCAGAAAATGTGGATGACTGAATTCCGACTCAGTGACCCAATGGTAATGTGCTGGTCCTGGGTTTGATCCCTGGCGGGGTCGAGCGGACATTGCTGAGAAGTTTCATACTAGAACGAAACAGCTGTCCAGTGCTTCCAGGTTTCCAATGTTCCTCCAACCGATGTCAGTCCATGATGAACTCCAACCTAAAATTATATATATGATAAGGTTGACAGATCTTAGTGGCAACAATAACAATAAAAATGATAAATCAGTTTAGAAATACTGGGGGGAATGAAGAAGAGAATTTCACAGTTTTCTCAAACACTTAGGAAAACATCTACGATCATTTTACTTTGTGTTTTTTCCGTTCATTTACTTCAAAAATATGAGCCATAGGTGCATAAAGCTTTGGATTCACTCATTAGGGTATGTCCCATTCAATCCTGTCAAAAAACAATACAAGTGGTAGCTATTGTGTTTCAATGGATAACACTTTGACGTTTGAAGTGATGGGTACTGGATTCGAGTCCCAGTGGGAACAACACTAGTCACTGGAGTGCAGGTAAATCCAGGAGGAAACAGGCGTCCTACATTCAACTGCCGACTACTAAATAGTCTATAATACTAACCTGGTAAAATGCTTAAACCAAAGCCGTCGCATAACAAGTGTGACCAGTAGCCTGGTAGATGAACGCGTACATGGTTGAGTTGCATTGGGATTATTTTTATTTTCTTGAAAACTCACGTGTGTGATAAGCATGATATTTAATATATGTAAAACTTAAGCACTGCGGCAGGATGCAATTCTATATTCGATGTGTTGATTTGATATACCTAGCAAACAATGATGTAACAAGTTAGTTTTTATACTAAAATACCAGTCAATATGGCACTGGAGGTAGTCAGAAATCAACTAAATACTAACTCAGAACTTACTCATAGAACTATGATATCGGTTAATGAAATTATATTAGGCGTACAGTTGTGCTTGACTTCGGCAGTCTTCAAGTTCCAGAACAAAATATATAGACAAGCAAAAGGAGTAGCAATGGGATCACCAGTCGTAGCAGGTATATTTATCGATAGTTGGGAAAACAAGGGGTTACAAACGTTTAATCCTACACCTATGATATGGTGGAGATAAGTGGATGATACATTTGGTGTGTTGAAACCGGAACATATCGACACTTTCCTCACACATATAAACTCAGTAGTCCACGCAATCCAATTCATTTATGAGGCAGAAAATGAAGAAAGAATTATCTACGTTGAATTGCAGAATAGAACGAAGGACACATGGTGGTTTGGATACTACCATCTACAGGAAACTGACACATTCTAACAGGTATCTAGACTTCAAGTCATCTCATCCAATATCAATTACGGCAGGTTTAGTCAAATGTCTGAATAACAGAGCTAAAAACTCACCAATCAATGTAAGGACTTAAGCAAGGAATTAAAACATATAAAAGAAGCGTTAATGATTAATAATTATCCTTTACCATTTATTAAGAAATTGGTACGAACACATAAGAAGCAAAATGATGACAGTAATATGAATACGAATGGCGACAATACGAATAGAAATAAGTTGAAAGCGTTTATTGTGTTACCATATAAGGAAGAAATATCAGAAACTTCCCATCAAGGCTGGAATTAAGGTGTCATGTAAACCTAAAAACTCACTCAGAGATAGAATCAATTAAGCGAAATAACCCAATCTATCAAGTTCCATGTAATGACTGGGAGGACAAGTACATAAGTCACACTAGCCAGTTGCGGTCATTTAGATTAGCGGAACATAGGAGTTTAGCTAAATATCGAATCACAGACCCCAATAGAATCAAAGATCTACAAAAAAAACTTTGTTTCCAAAACTGCCTCTAGAGATGCATGGATATAGAGTGTCAGTCACCAACGTCCAACAAATTCCTAGTTGATTCCCGACCCGACGAAATGGTGGAGAGGACACGACGGTGGTGTAGAAACGTGTATTTGGGGTCGAAAGACCAAAGACTAGAACAAAAGAAAAGTATATCTAATATATATATATATAGTTCGTCGTTTAAAATAGTAATATTGATTGGCTGATCCATCGTTTGTCTGCCTATCTGTAAACGTGATAACATAAAATACATTTTGACCGGCCCCTCTTCAGATTAGCCTTTTCTTACTGTTACCATATCAAAAACTCGGATATTGCAATGCAAAGATCAACACATAACCATGCAGGAGGGTGGGATACAATCATTGTTGATTTAACAGAACAAAAATGGGGTCCAACAGGGATACCAAAAAAAGAACCATTCCAAATCATTTAACAATACTATGAAAATATAAAGTGATAAGACAGGAACCCTACAGAAGTGGTCGTGGTAAGCTAACAGGTCACGCCGACACAACCTTACTTAATCTTATGCAGTCATCTCAAACACTGGTCACCTCTCTGCTTCCTCCAGCCAGTCCCAGAACTAGCAACAAGTGAACGGCATTGAACGTGGTGGTACGATACATCACACCACCGAAGTCAACATTCCAAAGTGGCATCACTCCACGAGTTACAGTCTACATCCACTGGATGCTAACATACCTAGGACGCGAACGGTGATCGAACACAAAGTTATCCAACATTCTCATTTTACACGGGTCAAGTCCGAAAAAAGTAGGGCATAAATCCCTAAACCCGACCTTTCACAGTTGGGATTAAAGTGACGGTGCCAACTGATGTATGCTGCTCCACCTTTCGATATGAAGTTACAGACTCCGTTAGTTACACTCTCTTCGGAAATTACACAACTACCCAAATATTCGAAATTAACGACTATTGTCCGTGGCTTACCACCACCCAGGATGAAAACACAATTGATCGGTTAAGTGCGATATGAGTAGCCTGTGTATTGGCGTACAGTGAGCTGATATCACCCACATCTGCTGGTACATATATACCATCACCACCATGCACCTCCTTCAGAGTTATCTCAAGAATGTCATCGATGGAAAAGTTGAAGAAGGAAGAATTTGGGTAACCTGATCTAACTACACTGCTGGTTTCGAACAAATGACATGTAATCTTATGTGGTGGTATCCGTGGGTCCTCTCGAACTGTTCACCAGTGTACTACTAGGGAATCCTGTTTCCTAACCAGATTCTTAAATAAATACTGAGATGAAGGAAAAAACAACCACCGTAGAATAAGCAGTTGACTTCTGACACAACGGTGAAACATACTTTCTTACAGAATACACATACTGAACGTGTTTATTACACAAAATCAATTAAAGTCTCAGAGCATACCATATCAAGTGCAATAATACAAAGAAATTATACAACTATAAATGTCAGAAAACAATCAGATGGGGAGAAAGGGCAGTAAAGCTGTTTGACCAGACTAGCTTGTTCTTATGGATTTTGGCTGTCACTATTAAGTAGTAAATTTTGCCTTAATTAAAGTATATCTAGACAAGAATGCTTTGTTTATCAGTCATTCATAGTGAAAGTCGGGAAGATTAGTCATAATAACATGACGATTGTACACTACGGAATGCTAAATAGAAATGGTTTAACCGCATAGCTTCACAAAGTGTTATCAGTGTATAATGACCTCCACTTTAACACTTCACTTACCTGGAAAGTGGGGTAAGCCCTAGTGGCTCAGTGGCTGACGAAATCTCCGCACGGATACAAAAGGCTCGGTTGGCTTTAGCCAACTTACGCTACCTATGGTGCCACCACAATATCCGAATCCCTTCTAAGGGTCGAGTATACTGTGCTGCAGTCCACTCTGTTCTACTCCATTGCTGTAAAAAATAGCCATTAAAAGTAGTAGATATGAGAAGGCTTCTAGTGTTTGACCACCGTTGCCTTCGTGGTATAGGCTGTATTCCGTGGTGTCACCACGTGAGCAACGCAGACGTCAGGCGTAGAGTTTTAGGGGGGAGAGGCAAGTGTCAGTTGATGCTGTCGTGAACCTTCACCGACTGAGGTGGCTGAGACGTATTACGTATGCCTAACCACCATCTGCCACATCGCACAATGTTTTCCAAAGTAGGTTCAGGTTGGAAAAAGGCTCACAGTGGCCAGAATTAAGTATAGCACTAATGCATGAAGTCCTTGTCTGTCTGTTTGAACCAGGTAGGGCAATGCAGACTAGTCGGTTGGAGTCCGTGGGACAAGAGAAACCAATGGTTAGAAACTCTAGATGATACGGCTCAGAACCGATGTCAGTGGTGCAGGTGTATACACACATTATCTTCATCTTAACCGCTGTATTTATCCTCTTTTTTCATTCCTCCTTCATTTCTTTTACTACTTTCTACTTCTTTTGGTTGATTTTTCTCTCTTCATTTTCCATTTTATTGCCTTGTAGCTTGATGTGTTGATGACAGGTGTGGCAACTAAGACCGTTATACTTGGTCCTATGTTGATCTTGATGAATGATGATAATTTAATACTTATTTATTCTTCAGAAAACCTCGCCCGGTTAACTAGTT